TTGGATTGTATCAGTATTTAATAATAATGCTCAGAACTTGAAAAGCCTTTTAGCACTTTCAGTCACTGCACAAACATCGACTAATTAGTCCTCACTACCCACTACAAGATAGGTAATGGCAAGAGTTATTATTATCATCATATAACAAGTGGGGAAGCTGAGGCATAGAGAGAAGAAGTGACCTGCCCAAGGTCACAGAGAAAGACAGTGGCAGAGCCAGAATTATATCTCAAGAGTTCCTGGATCCCAGTCCTGTGCTCGCTCCTATAGACCAGACAGCCTGTGGTATTAAAATTGGGCGTCGTGTGTAAAACAGGGGATCCCCAGCTGCTCAGGGCCCCCAGTTTGAAAGACAAGGGTTATCTGTGCCTCCTCGGAAAGCTGTGTGGGCAGGAGTGACGAGAGGTTACATGGAAAGGGAGGGTGAAAGGAAATGAGAGAGAAGAGAAAGCTGCACACAAGCAACCATAGAACCTGGAAGGGGAACGCACCACATACAAGAAGGGGAGGAAAGGCAGAGATACATGGCAGAGGGGATTGCAGACATTCCGTGGGAACAATTCATTTCTTCTGATCAGAATGGCGTAGTCACCTGAGGCCAGATTTTCAAAGATATTTATGTGTCGCTCTGCTCAGCGCAGCAAGGCCTAACTGACGTACATGAACATAAGGACGGCCCTACTGGGTCTGACCAAAGGTCCATCTAGCCTAGTATCCTGTCTTCCGACAGTGGCCAGTGCCACATACCCCAGAGGGAATGGACAGAACAGGGAATCATCAAGTGATCCATTCTCTGTCGCTCATTCCCAGCTGCTGGCAAACAGAGGCTAGGGACACCATCCCTGCCCATCCTGGCTAATAGCCATTGATGGACCGATCCTCCCTGAATTTATCTAGTTGTTTTTTGAACCCTGCTATGGTCTTGCCCTTCACAACATCCTCTGGCAAGGAGTTCCACGGCTCCATAAGAGCATCCCATTTTCAAAAGTGACCTAGGCATTTAGGAGAGCCCCAATTTCATTGAAATTCAATGGGCTTTAGGCTGCTAAGTGACTTAGATACTTTTGAAAATTTTATCCTTCGGCCTTGCAATTCTGAGCCCAGCAGCATCTAAATGCCTTTAAATATCCTTCTGCTACACACTAGGCAAAACAAATTGCTGAAGCTAAAGGGTACCTGATCTCCTGTAGCAGTCTGAGCAGCGCTAGGACCGTCTCAGGACACTGTGAGCTAGATTTAGGGTTGATTTCAGTGGAGTGAGGCTGATTTATTCCAGCTGAGGAACTGGCATAAAACAATTGTTCCAATATCTATTCCTGGGGGAATTCTGCACCCAAAAATACAACATGCTGCGCACAATATTTTAAAATTCTGCAAAATTCTGCCTATTTTGTCAAAAATAACTCAATATAATCACAACAGTTTCAATTATTTTGGTAATTTATTTCAAAATACCTGTCCTCAAGTATGTCTGTAACAATACAGACGACAAAAACATTCCCCCCAGAAGCAGAGAGTTAAAGAAACCCCTACAACAACCTAGTTCCTGTTTCTCTGTTATGCTTTTGTTGGGTACCTCAGTCTGGGTGTGTCACATGTGCCAGCTGGACCCACCTTGTGGGAAAACTCTGCCTCTCCAGTCTAAGACACCCACACACTCCCTCCGGAAACCAGCTGAGGGGTGCCCCCCCCGCCTAGACTCCTGCATCCCCATCCCCCCAGATCCCAGCCATGGGGCATCCTCCCCAGCCCAGAAACCTGCACCCCGTAACCCCCAGAATCCAGGGATCTAGAGAGAGAAACAGCCTGATGCCGGGTCCTGGGCCTGTACAGAGTTTCCTGCATGTTGCCTCCTTCCTTCAGGATGTGCTGGGAACCGCAGCTGCCCAGAACCCTCCAGCTCCCACTCCCCGTCCTCTCTGGCAGTGTCCTGCATTTGCAAGCTGGAGAGCCGGGCTCTGCTGTGACGGCCATCAGCCCTGCAGCATTCTGCGGGGAAAAATGAAATTCTTCACAGAACAGTAATTCTGTGTAAATTCTGCATTGTGCAATGGCGCAGAATTCCCCAGGTGGAAAGATCACTAATCAAAGGTTAATTGATTAAGCCTCACAAACCATGGAACAGAGTAACTTTCCCAAGTTCCTACAATGAATTGGAGGTTTCACTGGGAACAGAATCTAAGATTTCTGGCTCCAAATTCTCCACTTTAGTCACCAACACAATCCTTCCATCTCCCTTAGGGAAGGGCAGTTTTATGACAAATGTACAAGGAATTCTCTTCTCCGGAATGCAGTCATCTGATTGCAAGACACTCAGCCAACCTTGCTGGAGTCCTTTAAGAAATAATTCTGGTGCAGGTCAGATAATGTAAACATGGCAGGGGGGTATAGCTTCAAGTGGATTTGGTAGTGGAGAAGGTAGCCTGTTTGCAAGGCTGTCTTCTGGCTTCTCTCCATTAAGTTTTTTTGAAATTTCCATGCAGGGAGAAAACTCTGGATTTGAAGGAAGCATTCTCTTCTTGGATTTAGTTTCGTTGTATTAATCAGAAGTGGTTGAACCAGCTCTCCAAAGGCACGGCTCGCCCTGCTATCTTGATTATACTCCTGTCGCTCCCACCCCCTGCTTGTTCTCACTTGTCCATCATTATTTAAGGGCGGACACACCTGGATTCCATATGAGGCGGCTCATAGGATGAAAGAGATAATTACATAGGTTTAATTTCCTAGTATCATTCTGTCTGCTTGCCAGTATAATCTATTTTATACTTTTACAAGGCACCCATTACAGTAGCATCCAGGTGCCAGGTTTACATATCGTCTGCCAAACGATGCAACAGAGGAAAGATTGTAAATTCAGCCTTTCCTAGGTTATATTCTCCATCGATTGGAGTCTTTAAATTGAAATGGGGCCTGATTTTCCACTGCACTGCACCTTGTGTGCGCGTTTATATCAGTGCAAAGTTGGACGTGAAGGGCTACCTTTTCTGATCTTGCAGCATTTCACATTCATTTTGCACTGGTGTAAATGACCGCACAAAGGTGCAGGGCAATGGAGAATTCGGTTCTCCCACCACAGTTTACTGGCCTTAGTGCAGGAAGTGCCAGGTGAAATTCTATGACACTGTATTATGTATGAATTCAGCCTGCCCTACATATCTATGAATATATGACAACGAAAGGATTTTTTCCCCATCAGCCATGTGAAATGACAGTGTGACTTTGTATTCTAAGCTTAAAAACCTTCCCTTATATTTCTCTTTAACTCTCCTGGTGAACCTTGAATACAAAAGCTAGGTTCACTTGGGGTAGACCCCAAAAAAGGCTGCCCTAGTGTAGATGTCATTTCTGCTGAGGTTCATCAATTCTTGTATGTTCCATCCCAACATGATTTTAAATTGCTGGGCTTACACTGAAATGCCCCCTCCGTGTTGCCTTGTGACATGCTGATGAAACTAAATGATGCTTGAGCATGTATCCCGGCTGGCAAACTCTTGAAGATGGCTCTGCTCCATGGCACAGCACCATGACGATGCCTCGTAGCCACTCGATGGTTTTGTACGAGATTTATAGCAATAGATAAGCATACCAGCTGCCATAGGATTTGAGAGACATAACAAACTCCCTGGGTTTTGGATCAGGGCCTGCGAAGCTTTTCCTCTTGAAAGTGCTTTACAAGATCACCTCATTAACTAATTGAGAAGAGCAGCCTTTAGCTCAATTAAGGCATAATTGCAAAGCAACTCAAACGATGAGGCAGTGTCAGGGCTCTCAGCATGAATACATCACCAGCTACCTAACTGTCCTGTATTCACAGCAGCCAAATGAGAAAACCCTACAAAAGGGCTGGGCCAAGCTTGCAAGGTGTGATCGTAGGACTAAATCCCGCTCTACAATTTAAAGGGCTTAGCATTAAAACTGGCAAGATTCATTTGAAGATTCGGGGTCAACCTTCTCCCCCCGTCCCCAGTAGCTTGAATGTTCCTGCTCCACTCCCCTGACCTCTGCTAAATTTTTCATTCACCCAGAGCATCTCAGCTAAACCTCCTCATTTCTATACAGGGCCCAATTCTGTGACATGCCACCAGTGGGAGTGGAGGGAATGCCAGTATTTGGCAGGATAAGACCCACTGCTTCTTTTACTAAAGAAAACAATGAAACAATGACATATCTATAGTTCAAAGGTTTCTGCCACAGGACTTAAAAACTAATAAACAACTTTAAGGAAAAGTGATTTTTCATGGGAACGTCAGATCAAAGGGCCTGATTCTCAGTTACTTCATTCATGCACTGAGATCAGGAATGGTATATGGACGACTATGCTGGCTTTAAGCTTCCTTTGTATTGGGGCAATCTAGGGTATTGCCTGGCTCCTGGTGTAAGCCAGAGCAGCCCCAAGGCTTCTCTAACTTATGTTTTGCTTCCTGTGACCCCTGGGAAGCAGAGAATAGCGACAGTGCAGTGTGCTCTGGCCATGCCAGAGGCTGGGATCAGAGCCTTTTCCCCAGCTCCACAATGGCTGGGGAAGCTCCCTCCTCAGTGAGGGATGCTCAAGGGGCTCTTTCCTCCCATTGTAAGGCCCCTTTTCATTGCAAAAGTGACCTAAGCCTCACTTAGAATCAAGCCCATCATTTTCATTCTCCACGAGTGAATTTATTTCTCTGCGTGTATGGCAAAAGATGTCATTGCTCACCTGCGTTTTTATTCTAAGGCAGATCTGAGAACACTGACTGTTCAAGCAGAGAATTTGAAAAATGTCTTCACGTGAACGAACCTTTGTGCTTCAGGCAGGGCTGACACACAAATCACCAGTTGCCAAAATAAAAAATGCCCCAGAAAAGGGAGTTTTCTCTCCCAGATGACACTCAAACTACTAATTTGGTCAATTTGGGGGTTGTGAAAGAACAGGGGCCTCATGCCTGGGACAATGTCTCACTTCTGGGAGGCCGGGCTTAGGGACCATATAAAGGTTCTTTCATCCCAAAGCCCCTGAATCCCCTTCGCATTGATTCACTTGCTCTCACTGGTGAATTGGGTAAGTCAGCGTATACTGCATTTATTAGTGAATTAGCATTAAATGGGATGATTGTGTCAGACTTTATTGCCAGTGCTAATGTGAGATCGCTCACTATATTACTGGCAACCTTCTATTGCTTCTATTTTATTTTGATGAGGCAGATGAAACATTCGGGGCGCCAAACTTTCGAAGTTAAGGAGTTTGGTTTCCTCCCATAGGCCATATGCCATTGGCTTGATGGAGTTATTTCTATACATAACACTGTAATTCTATTGTCTCCATTGGAATTAATCCTGATTTACTCCAGTGTCAGTGAGAAGAGAATGAAGGCCAGAGTGCTCAGAGGTTACATAAGTGGTTTTTGCACGCTTAGACGAAAAAGCTAGCAACATTCTGGTGTGACGGTGCATAAGGGGTTTGATAACATTTCCAGATTAGAGCACAAATTCCCCAGGGTTAATTGTTGCAGGAGGGGAAAATGAACGGGGAAAGCGATGAATTGCCGGAGACCAAAAGGGAAGATTGCCGGAGAAGTCTTTTGGTTTTATGGGAGTATTTTGCTTAGCACAATGGGGCCTGCATCCTAGTCTAGAAGTTCTGCATAATGCTATTGCAATGCAAAAAATAATAGTAATAAGGGTGGTTATAAAATGTTCAAAGACAAGGGTCTAGGAGATGGAAGGGGCAGGGCAGAAGGGAGTGAGACCTAGAGGAAGGCAGTGCCAAAGGAGGGACAGGCAAGGGGAACTGGAAGGGTAAAGGGAATTGGAAGGAAGGGAATTATTCTAGATCTGAGTCTCCATTGCCCTGTGTCAGTTATTGAAATCCTGCCATTGTGATTTTAGTAGTTTACATCTACTTTATGAACCAGGGCTGGCTGAACATTTTTCATCAGAATGGAAAATTGGTTTTGACTAAGCCTTTTTCTTAATTGGGCTTCTTTCCTTAAAAAACAAATGTCCCACCAGAAAACCAAAACCAGGACATTTTTCAGCAAGAGACACATTATATTAAATTTTCAGCTGAACATTTTCCATTTACTTTTTTTTTAATGACAAGTCAGAATTTTACTCTGGAAGCCCCAGCCCCCCTTTCCCATTTTTGACTTGCTCCAATGTGAGTAACTGCACAAGATGTGGGGCAATGCAGATGCAGGCCCAGCATGTTTTCATCCAGAACTTAAGACATCATTAAAACACCCAAGAGTGTGTTTTAAAACACCCACCTTCGATCTCATTGGCATTTGTGTAGCAAATATAAAAACCATCCAACATTTCTCCCAGGTTTCCCTGAGCTGCAGATGATGGCTTCACAGCAAAACCAGCAGCAACGCAAGCAAACTCTCACCCTGCCACCGGCACTGAGCAATGCCACTTCAGAACCGGCACCGACCCCAGAAGCAGTACCAGAACCATGTCCAGCAACAGTCGAAGAACCGGAAAATTCACCTCAGGAAGAAGAGGGGCCACAGGAGAAGTATAAGCAGCCACTGAACCAGCCTCTTGGACCAGCTCCAGAACTAGAACCAGAACCAGTACTATGCCCAGAACCAGAATCAAATCCACCAGACGTTAAAGAAATAGAATATCTACAACCGGACCACCAGCAATACAAACATCCACCAACCCTACCCCCGGCACCAGGAATAGAAACATCAAAGGAATATCAGCAAGCAGAACCGGAACCGGAACCAGAACCGGGACGATGCCCACCACCAATCAGTGAACCAGAAGGTCCCCCTTTTGTGCAACCATCTTCACCTGTGGAAGAGCAGCAACAGAAACAACCACATCATTGGCCGCCAAAGCGGAAGTAGCTTCCAGATACCAAAGGGAAACCATGATATGAAAAGCAAGACCCAGTGCTTGACACAGTTAACCTCATATTCTCATCTGCTGTGGGTTTAGGTGGTTTTGCTGTAGAGATTTCAGAGTTTTGTCTGGTATATGTTAGGGCCTGTTAAATATACTCCATTAGTATCCTTAAACTGATTCCATGCATGGGACAGATCCTCTTGAAATCACTGGAACTCTACTGATTCACACCAGCTGAGGATCAGGCCCTTCTTGTCTATCGCTCGTCTATAAGAGATGTAGGTGCAGGCTGTAGGTGCTATGAAGTTCTGAGCGTATGCTTTCACTATCGGGTCCCTGCTTTTGAAACCCATCCATGAGAAAGAGTGAGAACTGGGCTGTCTATACTGATTTTTACCGCCACAACCCTATTAATAGATCCCAAGGGCCATTGTGATCTTCATGAACTCCACTCTGCTAATAACTTCCAGCCAGAAGGGGCCACTGTGATCTTCATGAACTCCACTCTGCTAATAACTTCCAGCCTCAGGAAAAAGGAGTGTCTAGATTCAGTGTGTATTAACTGGAGAATGACGAGGATCAGTTAAAAGGCTTGAACAGGGAGAGAACAGTCTATAAGTTAGGAGTGTTTCACTCTAATGCATGATGGGGTTGACTTTTCACCTTTGAGGAACTAAAATCCCTGGGGCGTAGATAGACACTAACCAATATGCACTGTGGAATGTCATATGCTGGGATAATTGTATCATTAAATGGCATGGTCCACTATTTGATTGTGCTCTGCTCTCTAGCTGCATGTGTGACACAATAAAATCTACCATTCCTGGATGGTCACACCTGCCTTCTAGTGTTTCTCTGGTCTTCTATCTTCCCTCCTACCCCCACCACACACTGACTTACCGAAGTTCTTGTTTCTAGGGGTAGCAAGAATAATTATGTCTTTATACAGAATGTTAGATCTACAGGGCAGGAACTGCCGCTTATTATGTGTCTCTACATTCAAAGGAACTCCCAGGCTAACTATTGCCACAATTCAGGGCAACTGGACCTGTATTTCCATGCAATGGTCCAGCAATGTCAGGCTTCCAGCTCCCCGGGGCCTCTCTTCGGTGGAGACCTGGGTCTCTCTCCCTTCTGACCAGGGTATTTCCAGACTGAACAGCAAGTCTGAAACTCAGCAAGGGGAGAGGGTCTCAGCGCCTGGGCTCCAGCTGGAACGGGAATGTCTAGACTGCTATTTTTAGCCCCATAGTTCGAGCATGAGTCAGTTGGTCCAGGCTCTGAGCCTCACGGCCCCAGGGGTTTTTGTTTTGCAGTGTAAACGTGTCTGTAGAGCTTAAGGCCTGAAAGGAGCACCAAATCTTCCAGCCTAACCCCCTGTACATCACAAGCCGCTAACAGCACCGCGCCACCCCCATGCTAAATCCAGCAAATGGAATCAGACCAACGTATTACAGCCCTCTGGAGACGTTTGTCACGTCATGTACTGCACGACTGGAAGGTGCTCAGATACGGTGGTGATGGGGATGTTACAAGGACCTGTATAGACTAGACTAGACTAGACAGAACACATAACATTAGCATAAAAGCTTGATTTTTTTTTAATGAAAACGTGACCATTTTGGACAAAAAATTCCCATTTTGTCCAAAAGCTGCTTTCCCCTCAAAACATTTAGTTCGTCCCCCTAATCCTCATTGTCAAGTGATGCCTTTTGCTATGTGCCAGTAAGTACAAAAACACCTTCGCTTCCGGGTGGCAAGGCTCATGGAACCACGTTCTGTTATGAAAAGCTGACCTAAAAGTGAAATCATCTCGGACTAGATTGTGGCATCTAGTTTTAGCTCAGGGTGGGGGTGGCACAGCGCACTTCTGGAGCACCCGCGTGCATTGGGGAAAACAGTTATTCCCCTATACGAGAGACAGTGCAACCCCACCCACCCTATGCAGCCAGCCGTGCTCTGCAAAAGCCCACGTGTGTGAGCCCAAATGTTACACCCAGTACTTGAGGTTCTCCTGTAAGTGAAGTGAACACAGACCCAGCTGAGCCTCCAGCCCTGCAATGCAGATCATTTGTGATGAATGAAAGGATTCCCGCTAAAATAGGAAACACATGGAGAGAAGTGTGGATACCATTGCAGAAGTGTAGGTGTTCAAGTCCCATGATGATGAGCGTGTGTCTGCGTGTGTGTGTGTGTGTGAGAGAGAGAGAGAGCTATTTCAGAACTAGCAGCAGTGACAATCCACTTAAAGGCCACTGCTAGGTATTGTTGAGCGTGCAATGCTGTCCTCTAGTGGCTTGTCCATGGAAAGGATGAACACTTATTACACTCCAGGTAGAGGAGGTTTCTAATCTCAGCTTCATGTGTGTGTGTGTGTGTGTGTGTGTGTAACACATCTTGGAGAATCTTCGTTGCAATGAAACTGAAGCAGTAATTTCCTGAAGGCAGTCTTATCTCCGGATGGGGCTCCTTTCTAAGGCTAAACAACCCCAAATCTTTTCAATCTTTCTTCATATTAGAATTGTTCCATGCCCTTAATCATTCTTGCTGCCCGTCTGTAAAGCCCAACAGAGATCAGGGTCTCATTGTGGTAGGTGCTGGATGCAGTGTGAGAACCAGCCCTTGCCCCATTTTTAGCATGCTTCTGTGATAGGAAGCAGTGGGATTGGGGCCACCGAGTTCCCAAGCCCAGGTCCCACAGACGTGGGTTTACAATCGCTGGACCTGGGTCTCACAACCGTGCTAATGTGTCCATACTGCATTATGCAGACCTGTAAGTCCCCATTTGACGGATAACATATCCCCTCTGTAAGGACAGATCTCCTCTTTCTTCCATCCCAATCGTCTCTAGCTCCCTCCTGTGTTGAAACTTAATGTTGGATGCCAGGCAGAGAGATTTGGATTCTTGATGCATTGGATCACACGCCTACATTTCACTAGCAGTGTTGTTGCTCCTTTGCGTTCCTTTGTTATTACAGGCTGGACTCCAGATTCCAAAGTGGCGTGGCTGGCGTGGCCTCAGGGATAGTCTACGTCAAAGGCTCATTTCCTAGTTCTCAGTGTCTGGGTCCTGCTTTTGGTTCCCTTTACCAGTAGAGTGTTGTGCTGCCTTGCTATACGGCCCTGGACCAGTCAGACAGGTTAAAAGAACTAGCTAAGGAGATTGTCTTAGCCTGTAAACTCTACAGGGGCAGGATGTGTGTGTGTGTGTAACACCAATGTGGGTGCTTCCAGGATACATATAAATAATGACAACAGAAGCAATAGTTTTCAATGAATGTCACGATATGAAAGTGAAAGGCTCAGTGCTAGCTGGCTAGTCTCCGTCTAGGGCCAGTTATGCTGCCATGCCCAGTCCAGAGATATGTCGGTTTTATTAGTAGCTGTCCCGTGCTTTATGTTTGAGGAGAGTTATCAGGGGACTGGACTCGATGACCTCTCGAGGTCCCTTCCAGTCCTAGAATCTATGAATCTATGAATCCAAAGCTGCCTTAGGGAATTCAGCTGCACAATCCTCATTGAAATGACTAGAGTGCACAGAAGGGGAATGCAAACCATGCAAATCTGCACGATAAACTACTGAAAATGTAGCCCGGGTCTCAAAAACTCAGGTAGGAACATGAAGAATTCAGACAGGTAGATACATCAGAAATAGGGTGACCAGACAGCAAGTGTGAAAAATCAGGACAGGGGGTGGGGGGTAATAGGAACCTATATAAGAAAAAGACCCCAAAATCGGGACTGTCCCTATAAAATCGGGACATTTGGTCACCCTAATCAGAAATGTGTCTTCCTTAGGACAATTTAATGAACTGCCAGGAACAGGAATGGCCGTTGTGAGCTTACGTTAAATATAGGAGTACTTGTGGCACCTTAGAGACTAACCTTAGACTAACCGAAGTCTCTAAGGTGCCACAAGTACTCCTGTTCTTTTTGCGGATACAGACTAACACGGCGGCTACTCTGAAACCTATGTTAAATATGTTTTCCATGGCACCATCTAGCGGCTGAACAGTGTAATACAGTCTAGCATTCCATTGCCGCCTGGAACATCAATGGGAAACTTGAGGGCTGCGGACACAGGCACTAGGAATGCGTGGGAATGCAGCGGCTCACGTTACAGCAACTCTCCAGCCGCTAATCCAATCGCTCTGGGTCACTCCAGTGTTGTTTCACAGTGTAGAAGTCACTTGAGTGTTTTCCATCAAGCTAACCTGTGGGCCAGATTTTCAAAGTATTTAGGTGCCTGGTGGGATTTTGAAAAGTGCTTTGAAAATCAATGATTGATTTCAATGGGATTTAGGTACCCGCTAGGCACCTATCAATACCTTTAGGTGCCTAAAGACCTTTAAAATCTGGCTTGCTATGCCTTCATTCCCCATCATTCCCCATCTGTAGTATAGGTAGGGTGACCAGATGTCCCGATTTTATAGGGACAGTCCCGATTTTTGGGTCTTTTTCTTATATAGGCTCCTATTACCCCCCACCCCCGTCCCGATTTTTCACATTTGCTGTCTGGTCACCCTAAGTATAGGGAACTTCACAGAGGTGGTAGGAGGATAAATATAATAAAGACTGTGAGGTGCTCAAGAATTACACTAGTTGAGGATCTGGCCCAGTTCCCACTGGGATTCAATCCAATCAGGTTTCTCTTTTGCAAACAGATTTGGTTAATTTTCAGTCTCCACAATCAGAAAAGAATAGAAAATAAAACTAACTTTCAATGTGAATACTCCCATTGCCCAATTACATTGCCCTTTACGCAGTACTGTCCCCACCGGCTGTTGAGTCACCACAGTGTATCATGGACGTCCTTGGCCACAGTGTATCATCCGAGATGTAGTCCAGCTGAGAATCCCAGCCTATGAGGCAACACAGTGGCATTTTTCAACTAAACATTTTTTTGCGTTTTGTCTCCTCCTCTCCCCCCCCCCCCCCCCCCCCCCCAGCTTTGGGTGTTAGGTTTTTCAACAAAAAGTCAACTTTTTCTGCAGAATGCAGACACTTTTCAGGACAAATTTCATTGTTTTGAAAATCCAATTTTCCATAGAAAACAGGTTCGAAGAATTTTTTGGATCAACCCAATTAAGGTTCTTCACATTTCTCAGTTCCCACCAGCCAGATGTCAAACAGAATTTGTGGCACAGAAACCTGTAACCGAATGTCACTTACCAAGAGTCTAGAAATGTCTGAAATCAACATGGTTCAGTGAGGTGCTTATCAATGCTGCCACTTCTAAACTGGCAAGAAACAAATCTGGAATTCCTGCATCTGGTTACTCTTTGGAAGAATTATTGTTATTACTCTTTGGGGGTGTCATTATTATCCTTGTATATAAAGAAGATAAATATCAACATGGATAATTATTTTTTTTAGTTTTTCAATGTTTAGTCAAACTCTTTCATCAGAAATTATTTCATCCGGAGTATCACAGGTACCGATGGATGAATCTCTTCCGATTTGTGCCAGCTACATTCCTGTCGCATGTTAATGATCTCTTTGTCATCCAAGCATTGATGAGATTATATAACGACATCAGAGAATTATGTACTAATGTTGTCATGCAATACGGTCTAATAGGAAGCATGACTCGTGGCTAGAACACAGGACGGAGAGACAGGAATTATGGATTCTATTTCTGGCTCTGCCACTGACTCAGTGTATATACTTGAGCAAACTACCTCACCTCAGTGTGCCTCAGTTTCCCCATGTTTATAACATGGGATAGTAATACATCCCTGCCCCATGAGACATGTAAGCCTTTCTCATATGAAAGGATTTCAAAGCTCTTTACACATGTTAAAATATTTGAATGAAAAATATGATATTATCAT